TACATGACTACTGGAAAAACCATAGCCTTGACTAGATGAACCTTTTTTGGCAAAGTAATGTCTCTTCTTTTTAATATGCTGTCTAGGTTGGTCATAACTTTTCTTCCAAGGAGCAAGTGTCTTTTAATTTCATGGCTACAGTCACCATCTGCAGTGATTTTGGAGACCAAAAAATAAATTCTGCCACAGTTTCCACTGTTTCTCCATCTATTTGCCATGATGTGATGGGACCAGATGCCATGATCTTTGTTTTCTGAATGCTGAACTTTAAGCCAGCTTTTTCACTCTCCTCTTTCACTTTCATCAAGAGGCTCTTTAGTTCTTCCTCACTTTCTGCCATAAAGGTGGTATCATCTGCATATCTGAGGTTATTAATATTTCTCCTGGCAATCTTGATTCCAGCTTGTGCTTCATCCAGCCCAGCGTTTCTCATGAGGTACTCTGCATAGAAGTTAAATAAGCAGGGTGACAATATACAGCCTTGATGTACTCCTTCCTCGATTTAGAACCAGTCTGTTGTTTCACGTCTAACTGTTGCTTCCTGACCTACATACAAATTTTTTAAGAGGCAGGTCAGGTGGACCCGTATTTCCATCTCTTTCAGAATTTTCCACAGTTTGCAGTGATCCACACAAAGGCTTTGGCGTAGTCAATAAAGCAGAAATAGATGTTCTTCTGGAACTCTCTTGCTTTTCTGATGATCCAGCAGATGTTGGTAATTTGATCTCTGGTTCCTCTGCCTTTTCTAAAACCAGCTTGAACATCTGGAAGTTCACGCTTCACGTATTGCTGAAGCCTGGCTTGGAGAATTTTGAACATTACTTTACTAGCATTTGAAATGAGTGCAGTTTTGCTATAGTTTGAGCATTCTTTGGGATTGCCTTTCTTTGGGATTGCCTTTCTTTGGGACTGCAATGAAAACTGACCTTTTCCAGTTCTGTGGCCACTGCTGAGTTTTCCAAATTTGCTGGCATATTGAGTGCAGCACTTTCACAGTAAGAAAAAAGAGAAAATTAAGAAAAAGATGATATAAAACTAGGATTAAAAAGCAAAGATGAAAAGTCTTCCCCTGATGGTCCAGTGATTAAGAATCCTCCTTGCAATGAAGGGGAATGCAGTTTCAATCCCTGGTTGGGGAACTAAGATCCCACATGTCGCAGAGCTACTAAGCCCATGAGCCATAACTAGGGAGTCCATGGGCCACAATAAAAGATTTGAACGTTGCAACAAAGAACTTGCGTGCGGGAACTAAGACCCAACACAGCCAAATAAATTTAAAAACAAAAACAAAGGTGAAGAGGAAATGAAATATTTAAAATTAGATGCTTAAGTAAAGAAAACTCCTCTAAATCTTGTCTTAAAAATATCCTCCGAATATCAAAAAGAACAAGAAGCAGAAACACAAATTCCCTATTTCATGTAAGTATTGCTAGAAGCCAGGAGATATCTGTAACCCCTTCCACAATAGATTATAAACTTAGAAAGCAGATAAAGAAATGGAATATGCTTTAGCAGAGGGGAAGAGCATTTAAAGTCAAGTAATTAAGACAGAGAACCCTGATGTAAAATAAGTCAGTTTGTATTCAGATACCCCCAAAGCCTCAGTAATGAGAGATTTCAGGTATTTCAGAAGGTAGGCATGTCAGGGATTTGAAGTCAACAGGAATATCTATGAATCTTTAAAAAGAGTAATAGGACTCCATCTGCCTCCTCTCAGTGCAATTAGGTAATTAGCCCTTAGGCACACTGCAGGAACCAAGCTTTCTTTTTCCCAAAAGAAACTGAACCTAAATTGTCTCTAAATTGGAAAACAAAGCCCAAGACAATTCTGGAGTAAGACAAAAGACAATTTCAGAGTGGTGATGGGGGAAGGTAAGATAGGATTTAGTAAAAATCTACATAGTCTATTGTGAACTACACAGCTCCTAGAGTACCCAGCACCCGAATGCCAGCTGTCAGATTAACAGCCTCAGAGCAGGAGTCTAGAGACTCTTTCCTGGAAGCAAGTAAGCCATCCAACAAAATTCCCATAGGTCCATCAGTCCAAAGGATAAATCTGACCCAACACAAGAGCTTCTAAGCCCTTTATATTGGTGCTTCACTCTGATTATCAGAGAATGTTCAAAGACAATCTGAAACATGAAAGACAATAAACAAAACTAACTGGGAAGTTTATGTCACAGAAAGCTAAGATAATTTATGGGGGGAAAAAGAAAATTTTGAAGAAACTGTATAAATACTCTCATAAGATGTGATGCTTTTACTTTTGTGAAAGATTAGGATTCCATGAAAATAGGAATAATCATAAAACAAAAATGTGTCCTGGAAATGAAAAATGATACCCAAATAAATATCCAATGAAAGGGTTAGAACATAAAGTCAAGGAAATCTCTTAGAAAAAATTAGAAAAGTGAAACAAAAATAATGGTAAACAGAAAATCAAAAGAAGAAAACTGTAAAATTGATCCAAGATGCCCCACATTCAACAAGTACCTATTACCAAAAGAATTAATAAAGAAGAGAGCGGGGAGAAAATTGTTTCCTCCCTCAAAAAAAAAAAAAAAATTAAATTAAAAGAGAGAAATATTTCCCAGAATGTGGTAAAATAATCTGTGTATAGGAAGGGCCAACTGAATGTTCAATAAAATTAAAGATGTGCAGGGAGAATTTTTCCACTTTTTTAAAAAAATAAAATTACATGAAAGTACTGGGAATGGGTTTCTCTGCTATAACACGAGATGCTAAAAGACAAAGCTATGCATTCAGAATTCTTTGAAAATAAATTTTAATCCTAATTCCATAGACAAAATATTAATCAAATGTAAGGTAAAAATTCTTTTTCAAATATTAAAAACTCAAAAAATGCATTACTCTTTTTCCTTTTTTCAGGAAGCTATTAGGAAAGTTCTCTTGTAAAATGTGTAAAAGAAGAAAACATGAGTCCTGAGAAACTGAAGTCAAACCTGAGAGATATACAAAAGAAATTCCAAAGTCAAAGAGAAGCCTAGATAGGAAAGAAAGGATGGATGGTTTCAAGAGAAAAGTCATTCAAAAAAGTAAACAAAAGATTATTTAACAAGTTTAAATTGTAGAAAATCTACTGAGAAACATTTTGGAGAACTATTTGAAAGGGTAGAAAACTTAACTCTTGGTTCAAAGAAGCCAAATAAATGAAAAAATATGAAGCCATGATTAACTCCAGGAAAAATTTTAAAGTGTAAGAAAAGAACTTATTTGTATCATTTAATGAAGCACTGAAAATTTTGCATAGTCATAACAATAATTCTAACTATGTATTTTACAAATTGAGTTATAAATATACAGAGCAGATGTGGGAATTATAACAAGAATGTAAAAGAACTAAAATCTCTACTTATTTTAAGAAAGCAAATATGAAGTATCTAAACTGAAAGAACCAAGAACTATCAATACTTTGACAGTATTCAGGAATAGGTAAGTAAACACCACAAAATAGTTTAAAAGTTGAAAATTGTTGTCTTTAGTGAGTGGTAAAAGCCAAGGAAACTATGAATAAGAGGGGCCTCTGGGTTTTATTTGCTTGTTAAGTCTTTGTAAAATTATGTGCATGTTTTACTTTGGTAGTTTAAAAAATCAATATAATTAGAATTTAAGGGATATTTAATGTACTTTGACCACATAGTATACACAGAAAGTGGAAAACAGAATAGCTAAATCTATTTTCTACTAGTTTTCTGACTGTGCTAGGCTTTTAACCAGCATGTCAACTGTTAGTGAATCACCAGCAATTTTTTTAACACATTTTCTCTGCAAGTCCCCAATCCCAGGACAGGCACAAGTTCAAATTGTTTAGGAAGTTCAATCTGGTAAATGTCGACAGAGGTCTTAGATATTTCTATAAGATATTCATAAGTAAAATGAGGAATAATTTAATACATGTTTCTTTGAAGAGTTTTACACAAAATGTGCCTTTCTGAGTATATTTATAAATGATGAACAGTCTATAAGAACATTCAGGTTTTTTTTCCTGAGATATTCCTACACTTCCTAAACTGCCGAGGGATCCCTTGATCCTTCTGCCGGATAGAATACTTAATATTTTGCATTGATTTACATTAAGCTATCTTTTAACAGTTAGCACATGCCAAAATCTCCAGCAAATCAGTTACACATATTATTTCCTTTCATCTCTGTAATTCTATGAGATAAGCACTAGAATAGAGACTCAAAGAACTTACAGGACCATGGTGGTTGCACAATGAGCATAGAACACAGACTAGACCTTTTGCCACTTGTTCAGAAAAAGGTAGAATTTTTTTTTTTAACCAGTACTTAATGTCATAAGGTTTCAAAATAGTTGTTGAGTAATCTAGATCTGTAATTTAATGTCAACAGAGATTAAATGTTCCTTTTAGTCAGAAGATTTATTACATCCAATCTGATACGTTTAGTCTGTTTATGCTTCTGAATACTAACACAATCAAATCTAAAGAAGCAGAATGATGACTCAAGGGATTATTAATTTTTAATAGAGTTCTAAACTAAAGCTTCTACATGAGGAAGAATCTAGAGGAACATGTAGTGATGTCTACAGCATACTTCGAAATACATCAAAAAGTGACATGGACGGCTGGAGGAGGAGAAAAAATTGATAGATGGCTAAAAACGTGACAAAACAGTATAGTAAAATGTTGATGGTAGAGGATATTGATGTTCACTTATAATTCTTTCAACTCTATTTATTTGAAAACTCTCCACGATAAAATATTACAGGAAAAAAAAACAAAAACCACTAAAGCATCTAGATCACACTGTTTAATAGAAATGTGAGTACCATAGTTTTGAATCTATATAATTTGAGTTTAAAATTATATACAATTTTACTTTTTTTAGTAGCCACATAAAAAAGAGAAAAAGAATAAGCAAAACTAATGCTAATATCAATGGTGTATTTTGGGGTGCACCCCAAGTTACTGAGGAACATGGGCTTTGCCAAGAAGCACAAGAAGAGCTTGAAGAAGATGCAGGCCAACATTTCCAAGGCCATTAGTGCATGTGCTGAAGTTGTCAAGGCTCTTGTGAAGCCCAAGGAGGTTAAGCCTAAGACTGCAACAGGCGGCAGCTGTAAGCTCACTCGACTTGACTACGTTGCTCATCCCAAGTTCAAGAAGTGTGCTTGTGCCCACATCGCCAAGGGTCTCGGACTCTGCTGGCCAAAGTCGCAGGCCAAGGCTCAAACCAAGGCTAAGGCACCTGAGGCTCCAGCTCAGGCTGCCAAAGACGCCCAGACCCCCACCAAGGCTCCAGGGTAGAGACCTTCATCTGCCAGTGTGAGGACAGAAGGACTCATGTGAGCCCTGGGCTGCTGTCTGCATGGGGTTGATGTTCTCTTGTGCTATTTGTACAAATAAATCTGTGATAGGAAAAGAAAATAGTATATTTTATTTAACCCAATACATTCTTTTTTCTTTTTGACTGCACCCAGGCGGCATGCGGGATCTTAGTTCCCGGATCAGGGATGGAACCCCTGCTCCCTGCAGTGGAAACACAAAGTGTCAAAGACTGGACCATCAGGGAAATCCCTAACCCAATACAATGATTTGTTATTTTCAATATGTTATCAATAAAAAAATATTAATGAGGTTTTTTTTCATAAGAAAACTTTAAAACCTTTTAAGAAATCTCCACACTGTTTTCCATAGTGGCTGTACTAATTTGCATTCCCACCAACAGTGTAAGAGGGTTCCCTTTTCTCCACACCCTCTCCAACATTTATTGCTTGTAGACTTTTGGATAGCAGCCATCCTGACTGGTGTGTAATGGTACCTCATTGTGGTTTTGATTTGCATTTCTCTGATAATGAGTGATGTTGAGCATCTTTTCATGTGTTTGTTAGCCATCTATTTGTCTTCCTAGTGAGTATTTTCCATTTGCAGCACATCTCTACTCAAATTAACATTTCACTATGCTAAGGCGCTACATGGGACGATCTGTTAGCACTATTCTGTTAGCACTACTAGTATATACACTTGCTATCATGTTCATAAACCCATTTTAAGCATTGCCTAAATCAAATGTAGGGATAAAAATAATTTCATAGGGGAATTATAATGTAATTAATTTTGACCACTTAATAGTAGGTCTTGACCAAAAAAAATTTCCTTAAAAGTTGTATATATTTCAAAATATATATTCAAATAAGTTTCTTCTGTTGCTTATTCTTGGGAATAATCCAACTGGTAGACGCGTATAGAATAAAAACCTATAAATCACACTGTTTTAAAAATACAACCCTTGCCTCTTCCTACTCTACTTTACCTTTCTGTGTGTGTGTTACAGACTCAGTTGTGTCTGACTCTTTGTGACCCCATAGACTGTAGCCCTCCAGGCTCCTCTGTCCATGGAATTCTCCAGGCAAGAATACTGGAGTGGATTCCCATTTCCTTCTCTAGGGTATCTTTTTGATACAGGGATCAAACCTGATCTCTTTCCATAGTTACACACAAAATAGTGCATATAAAAAAAAAAACTGTTTTCCAAATTTTAAGAAATATTTTATCAGATTGTGGCATCTTCCTCAGCATTTTTATCATTTTTCTCTATTAAAACTCTGATAATATACTTCTGATTGCTAATATCACAGCACACCTCACAAATAAAAGTAGAAATACAAATACTGACACTTCATGTAGATAAAACTATTTCTATGTTGTTTGGAGACTAGTTGTATTCCTGGCATAGATGGAATTTCTAGAATTAAGGATAAATAAACCATTGATCTTTTCCCATAGGATGAGATTATTAGCTAAAATCTTAATGATCACAAAATAAAAAGTCTCTTCTGTGACATATGTAACAGTAAAATTTTAGGGAAAAGTGTTTGTCCTGTACTTCCTTAGTGACGAAGCAAATATAATTAGAATCCTCAAATTTCTCACTAAATGAGAAAATCAATACCAATCTTTAAATAGAGTTGTTTAGTATGATATATTAAGGTTAATATGACTTAACCTATTCAATGAGATAGTCATCAATCAGGGAATAAAACACATCCCCGTTAAACTTGAAGCTAAAAGCCATCTGCACCCAATGACTGGATGTTAGCGTACCAAGGCCTGACCACCTTGTTTTAATTCAGAAAACTCTGAAGGGCCATCTCTACTCCAGAATTCCCTAAAACATCACCTCTGGTTTCTGCTGCACCTCAGCAGAGTTCACATTCTTCTTTCCACACTCACTTCCTTCACTCTCCTACAGATGTTTCTAAGAGTGCTTCCCGGTAAAATTCATGTATAAAAATCTCCACTTCAAATAATACAAATGAATTTATTTATAAAACAGAAGCAGACTCACAGACTTAGAAAAGGAACTTATGACTACCAAATGGGAAGGATTGGGGGTGGGGAGGGATAGTTAGGGAGTTTGGGATGCACATGTACACACTGCTGTATTTAAAATGGATAACCAACAAGGACCTACTGAATAGCACAGAGAACTCAATGTTATGTGGCTATCTAGATGGGAAGGGAATTTGGGGGAGAACAGATATATATATATGAATGGCTTAGTCCCTTTCCTGTCCACCTGAAACTAACCCAACATTGTTAATTGGCTATACTCCAATATAAAATTAAAATTAAAACAAAAAGTCTCCAGCTTAGAATGTGTTTTCAGCCATGGAGGTATTTGACAGATTCTGGCCAATCAGGCTGTCATCCTGAAAGACAGAATATACCACCGCCATTTGGAAATGAAGTACTATTTCCAAAATATTCATGCCAGTTTAAAGGAAATACAGATGATAGAGGAGCAGGCTAAATTTTATCCTGAATAAGCAATCAGAAATTTTTCACTGTGAGAAATTCTACAAAATAATCAACCAGATTTTTTCAACACATAAATAGTCAGGAGAAAGAGGTAAGTAGGATGTGGGAGAGTGAGGGGAGGGAGAGTGGGAAAGAGAGGGAGAAGGAGTGGGAGAGAGAGACACAGATACTAAGAGATGCCACAAATGGACAAGATTTAAATGATATATCAGTCAATTACCTTGTGCAGACTTTATTTTAATCCATATTTAAACTGTAATGTGTATTTGTGAGACAACTGGAAACTTGGTGTTTGATCATATTAAATACTTAATATCAGCATTAATAAGTCACACCCAAGCACTAGCCAAAAAAAAAAAACCTTATGGCTAGTGTTTGGGTGTGACTGTGTTATTAAAGCTATATGATTTATAAAAGGGTCCTCGTCTTCTATTGCTACCTGCAAAAATATTTACAGATAAAATGATAGGATGTCAGGAATTTTCTTTTAAATAACACAATGGAAGGAAATGGGTGGGAGTATAAGATGAAACAAGATTAGACTTGAGTAATGACACTTAAACCATGAAATAGGGTCATGGGGAATTATTTAACTATCTATTTACTTTTCTATATGTTTGGAAGGTTTTATAGTAAAAGCCTCTTAAAACTGAAAAAATAATTACAAATGGATTTAAGAAATATGTCAGTTTTGCCTTAATCCTATCACAGGCAAAGGAGAAGGCAATGTCAACCCACTCCAGTACTGTTGCCTGGAAAATCCCATGGATAGAGGAGCCTGGTAGGCTGCAGTCCTTGGGGTCACGAAGAGTTGGACATGACTGAGTGATTTCACTTTTCACTTTTTCATTTTATCACCAGGAAAACAACAAAAATGAGTGTGATGGTAAAAGACAACTGTCTCCCATCCACTGAGTCAGGGATGGTGGGGACTGGTGGAGCCTGTGGCAGACATGAGAATGCTTGCCCATTGTGAGAGGCAGGAGTGTGACTCAGGCTAAAACTACTTATAGCAGCAAGATCAGTGCTAATGCATCTTCTGGTGCTCTCAGTAAAGACATAGAGAAGAAAATGTCTTTACTGTTAAATGCCAACAACTAATTCAATTTTTTTGTAAGTCACTCTGTGGGTAAGTATTTCATGGATCAAACAAAATATGGTATTTTGCATGCTCTCTTCTGGTTGATATAAGCCATCAAAGCACCTAAGCAACTGGCTTCCTCATCACCTGTAAAGGAGTCACAGATTATAAAACGCCAGCACTTAAAAGTCTCATGGAATATTGCCAGGAACTCCTTGTTTGGTTTACGTGCTTTTGAGTCACTCCATTTGCCTCACGTCCAATTTCTCTTTCTGTTCCCAGTTTCTCCAGATTGATCCTTTGGCTGGAAAAACTGCTTGACTTTCAACTCCAGATATCCTCCTGAATACTATATTAATCAGATCTTCATAGTCTCAAGGTAGCTCCATTTTCAGCAAAAAAAAAAAAAAAGTATAAATTCCTATTTCTGTCCAGAACCGTAGGCACCCAGCTTGCCCAAGAGGATTGTTTGGTAAGAGGTTAATTTGTAGTTGCTGCATGCACCTGTGCTAAATCACTCAGTCCTGTCCAACTCTTTGTACCTCCATGCACTGTAGCCCGCCAGGCTCCTCTGTCCATGGGATTTCCCCGGCAAGAACACTGGAGTGGGTTGCCATTTCTTCCTCCAGATGATCTTCCCAACCGAGGGATTGAATCTGTATCTCCTGTGTCTCCTGCATTGCAGGCAGAGCCTTTACCCCTGAGCCACCAGGGAAACCCCCTTGTAGATATACTAAAAATTAATATAACTTTACTAAAAAAAAAAATGTTTTCTTCATTCTCATTCATGACTAGCCTCTCCTTGCCTTTACTAAATGCTGAAGCCCTTTAGATAATTACATGCTGTTTGTTTATAATTCATATCCCACTGGAAAATCACTATCTGGCTGAGTATAAACATATCTAACATTTGACCACCAAACTGACCCAAGCCACTTCCTCTGAGTCCAGATGTATGAACAGTGACATAAAAAGCTCTCAAATACCATCTCACTAGTACTTCCAATTTGTTTGCTATTCTTAAGGCTGGACATAGTCATGTAAATGTTGACGTAAGTAAGGTTTAATTTATCTAAATGTTGCTCTTTGTAATAGAACTTTGTGTACAGATATTAGGTGCTTAAAATGTCACTAATAAAAATAGATGTAAATTTATAGTAGTATTTTCTAGCAGGATTTTTAAAAATATTGCCAGTTTCATTAAAGAAAAATTTAATAGAATTACTTCTCTATAGCTGTTCCTTCACCACTCCACATTCCTCAATCTTGCCATGTGTAGGTGGAACATGAACTAACATTTTTATGTATTGGACTAGTTGGGGCACAACAGAATGAGATTAATGAGTTTGATTAACATCTATGGCATTTTAAATATTTCACTGTCTAATTATATATAAATAAAATG